AAATAATAATCGTCGCTATCGTATCGTTAAAAATTATTTTTAAATTATTTTATTGCTCACAAAACAAACGACCACTCATAATTAGAAAATTAAGTCTCGTTTAAATACTGGCCGCCCTTTAATGCTCGAGACAATATTGCCAGCTAAAACACGCGAAAATTTAACAGAAATAATATTAAAGTAGCCAAGACATAGCCAAATATTGTAGTGCCACATCACTAGCGGACATTTGAAATTTGCCAACTACAACGGTCGGTTAACCGATGTGACGGTTAATCGTGGGTCGGATAATCGATGCTCTACTGTATATACAGTATATTTAAGCTGATACTTTTTCTTTTGTTATATATTTTGCCTATAATTTTTTCTGTATAAATATAAAATCATAATAAAAGCGTTATTTGACTTGGATCGTTTCTCATTCTTTGTACTTACGCTTCTTTCTTAACTAATTACTTTAAGAAATTTTTAAACTNTAAAAGTCTCGTTTAAATACTGGCCTCCCTTCAATGGTCAAGTCTGTTGCCAGCTAAAACACGCAAAAATTTAACAAAAATAATATTAAAGTAGCCAAGACATAGCCAAATATTGTAGTGCCACATCACTAGCGGACATTTGAAATTTGCCAACTACAACGGTCAGTTAATCGTTGTAACAATTAATTGGGGGTCAGATAATCAATGCTCTACTGTAATTTAAAATCATGGAGATCTTACAAAATTTTTCAGCTTAAATTTAGTTGAATATTTATCTGCAGATAATAAAATAATCTGTTTGGATTGCAAAAGAGGTTTTTCTACCACTTGAGTGAAAGCATCAACATTTTCTTGTTCTCTTCTCTTACACACAGCATCTATTAATTTCTAAAAGCAATACATTAATTTAAAAAATAAATTATTAAAAATTATAATTATATAAAATTTCAATAATTTTCTTACCAATAAATCTTTTAGTCCTGAATGATATGAATCGTAAACAATAAAATCGTCTAGGAAATCTTTATATTCTCTTTCTATTCTATATATTTCATTTCTTAATCTATTATTACAAATAACATTCCATAAAAAATTTATAACTTTATTAAAAAATTAATTTATTTAGAAATCACTTACCTTGTTTCTAAATCTGATGCATTAATAGGCAATTGAATGTGATTTGGTGAAGTTGATTTTTCAAATCTTTTCAGCAATTCTTGGGACTGAAATAAGTTAATTAAAAATAAATATAGTCTTTAAATCACAGATTCAAATTCTGTTTGTAAACTATTAATGAATATTCATTTAATTCAAAATTAAATTAATAAAAATTAATTTCTAATATGTTAAATATTAGAAATTAAGTTTTAACTTGAAAAAAACATTATTTTTTAATAAGCTAATTAATTTTGCATTTTGTAATGTAGAATTAGTAAAATAAAATATATACTTTTCTATCAATGTAATCTTTAACTAATTCTTCATTCCTTTCATTAAGTTGTTTTGCAAAAATTGATATTTTACCCTAAAAAAATTAATTTTATCATAATTAGTTAAAATAAATTTAATAAATTACACATATTTAAGAGTTATTAACAAAAGTTTGAGTACATGTAAAAAGTAACATGGTAATACCTTCAGTAGGTCTAAGAATGTTGTATATAAACTTTCTTCTTTTAATTTGATACAATGTCTTTCAAATAACTGTAAATATATAATTAAAATTTGTTATAGAATTGTAAAAAATTTAAAATTCATATTTAAAATTCATATACAGTATATATATATTTATTTATTTATTTATTGTGAGGCTCTGGACAAATCCAAACCCTCACTGAAATTTGCATTAAAATAATTTTTTTGTATGAAAACATGACACATTTGTTTATTGTTTAAAGTTTATAAGTCCTAAGATTGAACANTTTTGGGGGTCTCCAGAACGAATTAATCAAATTCCCATAGAAACCTATGGTAAATCGATAATCGGTTAACGAACAATTCGGATAGCGAACAAAGTCTTGGAACAGATTATGTTCGTTAACCGATCACCCACTGTATTTATATAACACTTCTCATAACTTTTAACATTTGAATATTCTGGATAATGTGTTTATTAGAATTTTTGAGTTTCAGCTATTTTTATATCTCCAAAACTCATAACTTTATTTTTCAAGTCCCATGAATTTCAATCATAAAAATTAGTTTTTAGCTATATTTATTATATTACAATACACTTTATTGGCTATTTTAATATTTATGCAATTAAATAAAGGTTTTTCAATTAAAATAAAAAGTTTTATTATAACAAATTTTAGACTGAATTAATACCTACAAAATACTAATTTAAACCTAAACAAGTAAAACAGCAAGGCCAATTTTTGGGACAAGACTGTCTCAGAGACTCAGGGCTCAATGTGATCATTCAAACTTTGCCAGCCTCGGCTACAGCCATCATCAAAAGGTTGTCCATGAGGCATTTTTAGTGAAATTAACCTATCCAATGTCGAAATTTCTGTCCATTGCATGTCACACCAGGTTGAATTTTTGTTGATGCCTAACGAAAATTTCCCGTTTTTGAAAAAATAATTGTGACTATTACCCGAAATTATTTTTTATTTTGCACAAACAAAATAAATACATTAATAAATGTAAAAAGAAAAAAAAATTATATTTTGGAAGTTACTTTTAATATAAAATTATAAAGACTAGTGCCATCTAGTTTCAAAAATGTTCCGATGCTGAAATAATATATCTCGGGTCAACCAGTCAAGGTCAGCAGGTCACAACCTGAGAGGTAAATGGGTTTTTTCAAAGTTTCATTTGTCAAAATTCAATTTTGCAACATTCGCATTTCCAACCTCCCAACAAGCAATGCATGTGCAAATTTCGCACTCTTGCCTGTTTGTAGAAAGATGTTGCAATTTTGTATTTTATTTTAACTTGGTTCTATGTTCCCTGAGTACCTACAAGTCTGATTTTTTTTTGTGCACGCATGATTTGGGCACCTAATATACTGTGCCAAATTGCAACTCCTGACATGTCCCCCTTATACCTCTACAGTGTGCACCCATTGATGGCAGCACGATTTTATAAACAAGACATAGTCATTTCAATTAAAGTAAACAAATATTTTAAGCTTTGAAATTATTTTTCAAGCAATTAAATTTTGTGTAACAAATTATAACCCACAGATATAAGTTATTAAACTTGTGTTCCTAATATCAACAGGAAGAAAATGAATAAACGCGACAAGCATAGAAGAATACATTGTAAAGTTTGTCAAGATGTAAGAAATAAGAACAAAATTGTAAGAAAGTAAATATCAGAGTAAAATAATTATTATTTGCATTTATTATTTTCTAAAAGTTGTAATTAGTTGTTGAAAGAAAGCAAAAATGTAATCCCTGTGTGCTAGGTTAAGAAGACATGTTTTGTACTAGACGGCGCTAGTTGGCTGGTGTCACATACTTTGGTC